GTTACTTTTCTTTTTGGTACCGGGGATTGACCCAGGTGTGCTTAACCACTGAGCCATATCTCCAGCCTTTTTTATTTTTTATTTTGAGAAAGTGTCTCACTAAGTTGCTTAGGGCCTCGCTAAATTTTTGAGGCTGGCTTGTAACTTTGAATCCTCCTGTCTTAGACTCCCAAGTGACTGGCATTATAGGCGTGTGCCACCATACCCAGCAATTAATTACTTTTTGTTGGAGATTGAAGCTGAAAACCTAGGTTCCTGACCCCCAGCTGTAAATTTCAGTTGATTTTTTTTTTTTTCTGAAATGTCCAGTTGGCTCTGTTGTTAGTATAAGAAAAGGATATGGAAGGCCTTAGACCATCTAATCTACAGTCTTTTCCCCCCACCATGCTTTTTCTTTTATCTTCATTCATGTTATGAGAGGGCCATATTTAGTGAATTAGTCCTGCATTCCCTCCTATACTCTTTGAAATTATCTTGTTTGTGTCTTTGTTATGTTTCTTCTCTGTCTCACATGGGTGCTAAAATTCTAGAAGAAAGAACTGAAGCCAGGCATGGTGGCACAAATCCCAGCAGCTCAGGAGGCTGAGACAGGAGGATTGCAAATTCAGAGTTAGCAACGGCAAGGTGCTAAGCAATTTAGTGAGACCCTTTCTCTAAATAAAAATTAGTGAATAGGGCTGTGGATGTGGCTTAGTGATTGAGTGCTCCTGAGTTCAATCCTAGTACCAAAAAAATAAAGAACTGTAAGCCAAGGGTATTGAAAAGGGCTCTGCAGCTCCCCTTTAGTTCTCCAGTTTCATCAAAGGTACGCGGATTATCACTGCAGGTGTTGAGTGGAGAGCAACAGTTGAACTTGAGCAAAGCCAAACAAGTGGAACAGATATTTTACTAATAGAATATTATCAAGAAAGCTGAGATGAAAGGTGGAGAGGTAGTGGGGGAAGTGTTGGGGAGTAATATTGGTCAAAAATGTGGAAGAAAAAAACAAAAAGAAAGCTTTCCTAGAAAACTATTTTTTTTTTTGACCACCGTTATACTGAGTTGATTGTAATAATATCTTGGGGATATATCACACTTTATACAACCCTTTCATATCCATTATCTTATTTAATTCTCACATTAACACTTTGAAATAGATAATGGTCAATCAGGAAAGCCAAAGTTTAGGGATTAAGTGATTTGCTGAAATTCACCAGCCAGTTTGTGGCAGGAGTAGAACTTAAACATAGCTCTTCTGACTGTTGCTTTCCCCACTACTACTTAGTGAACTGCAGTTATATCTTTGTTATCATTCTCAGTCTGGATCTCTGTTGGTTTTTCTAACACATTTGGTCCTCCTTCATCAATTCTTTTTACTGAATTCCTTGTCATTTTGCTTCTGTTCCAGAGAGAAGTGGAGATCCTGATGTTTCTCAGTGCTATTGTGATGATGAAGAACCGCAGATCTAGTAAGTTCAGCCTGCTTCTAAGTCTCAGGATCAGGCCTGATACCCCTGGAGTTGCTTTTTTCATGTTATGAGAGGGGCACTATTTAGGGCATTTGATCTTCTTCCCTCTTCCATTTCAAAAGTACCCCAAGAAGATGGAAAAAGAATGGGATATAGGAGTATACAGCCCAGCCTGACTTGTGACATCTCTTGTTTCAGTCACCGTGGAGCAACATGTAGGCAATATCTTCATGTTTAGTAAAGTGGCCAACACAATTCTTTTTTTTCGCCTGGATATTCGCATGGGCCTGCTTTATATCACACTCTGCATAGGTGAGGCAATTACCTTTTTAAAATTCTTCATAAAACTATGTTAATAAAGACTTGATTTAGGGGCTGGGGTTGTAGCTCAGTGGCAGAGCTCTTGCGTAGCATGTGTGAGGCACTGGGTTCAATCCTCAGCACCACATATAAGTAAATAAAAAATAAAGTTAAATCAACAACTAAAAAGTATTTAATAACAACAACAAAAAAGACTTGATTTAGCTGGGTGTGGTGGTGCACACCTGTAATCCCAGTGGCTCAGTAGGCTGAGGCAGGAGGATCACAGGTTTGAAGCCAGTCTCAGCAATTTAACGAGACTGTGAGCAACCTAGTGAGACCCTGTCTCAAAAATTTTTTTAAAAAAGGGTTAGGGATGTTGCGCAGTGGTTAAGTGTCCCTGTGTTTAATCCCTGCCACCAAAAACATAAACACTTGATTTGAGGAACCAAATTTCATTCCCAAACAGGTAGTTATGTGTGTAGCTTAGATGGTAAGAAAATAATACTGGGCACAGTGGCACACACTGTAATCCCAGCAGCATGAGAATCTGAGGCAGGGGATTTGCTTGTTGAAAGCCAGCCTTAGCAACTTAACGAGGTGCTAAGCAACTCAGTGAGACCCTGTCTCTAAATAAAATACGAAAAAGGACTGGGGATGTGGCTTAGTAGTTAAGTGGCCCTGGGTTCAATCCCCAGTACCAAAAAAAGGAAAAAAAACAAAAAACAAAAACTGCAGAGACTGTACTTTAGAGGAAGGAAATGTATTTTTGGTCTACATATATCTACAAGTATGTATTCTTTGGTGGCTGAAATCCTTGAGTTGGTTGGAGATAAGTCCTGTGTGCAAAGCCTTGTATGTTTTTTGCCTGATATCTTTTTTCCTGTGTTCAGTGTTCCTGATGACCTGCAAACCTCCTCTGTATATGGGCCCTGAGTATATCAAGTACTTCAGTGATAAAACTATTGATGTGAGTATTCTTCCTCCTCTGATTCTTGGGTACTTGGTAGATGATTTTGTAATTATGTTCTCAGTTCACTAGGAGGAATAACAGTGCTTCAAAATGAAAGTCAGGAGCATTTGTGATTCATTATGAGAGCCAGGAAGAGGGAAGTCAGGATGAGGAATTAGGCACTAAGGTCTGACTCCTCCCAGATTCTTACATGATCCAGTTCACTATTTCTTCCCTTTGTGTGGCAGGAGGAACTGGAGCGGGACAAGAGGGTCACTTGGATTGTGGAGTTCTTTGCCAATTGGTCTAATGACTGCCAATCGTTTGCTCCTATCTATGCTGACCTCTCCCTCAAGTAAGTTAGTGCAAAGGGAGGGATAATGGAAATTGAGATGCAGTACCTTCCTTCTTATTTTTGGCCTTGACTTTTACGCTTTCCAGCCAAAGTCATTACCCCCTTCTCTCCTCAAATATCTTTATTTTCACTTTTTAAAATGTTTTCAATATATTAAATAATATGTTCTTCTCAGGTACAACTGTACAGGGCTAAATTTTGGGAAGGTGGATGTTGGACGCTACACTGATGTTAGTACCAGGTATGTAAAGATTAGAGCTAAGGATCTTAGCAAGGAATTACTTTGAGCACTATATAGAGATACATTCACAGAGTCTTTTCTGGGCCCTGTAGGTACAAAGTGAGTACATCACCCCTCACCAAGCAGCTCCCTACCCTGATCCTGTTCCAAGGTGGCAAGGAGGTAATGCGGCGGCCACAGATTGACAAGAAAGGACGAGCTGTCTCTTGGACCTTCTCTGAGGTATTTGAAGGAATAGGCAAGTAGTTTGCAAACGGGTACAGATCAGTGGATGAGTTCTGAAACCCAACCTGGATTTGATTTCCAGTGTCTACCACTTGTCCACTAGTTTTTGAGGATATAGACTAGATACTAGGCCTCATTTTAGTTCACTCACCAAATTTACATTGTATGCCAGACTGCTAGTACAGGGAACAATGATGAGTGAAGACTTAGTCTCTAAGGCGCCTATAGTATATAGGCATTTAGGCTTCTCATCACAAATTGGATATCCATCTGGCTCACAAGATTATTTTACAGACTACATGTAGATAGTATCATTCATTCTTGGCACAGTGATTGACACATAATGAATACTTAAGTATTAATTGACTTTTCTGGGTACTTAAAAAAAAAAAGAGGAAAGTTAAATTAGGGTAGATTTGTATCCTTTCCTTTCTCCCTTCTTTCCTACTCTGTGTCTAAATACTCCTTACTTTTAGGTTCTGAACTTTACCTTCCAAACCAAATCCTGATGTGTGCATCTCTTTTGTGCAGGAGAATGTAATTCGTGAATTTAACTTGAATGAACTGTATCAACGGGCTAAGAAGATATCAAAGACTGGAGACAGTATCCCGGAGGAGCAGAGTGTGGCCCCAGTCCCCACCACAGTGCCAGATGGGGAAAGCAAGAAGGATAAATAAGATTCCTGCCTAGTTTTTGCTCCCTCTTCTGTCAATTCCAGGCACCTTTGAGGCCCTACTCCAGTGTAACCATAAGCTCTGCGGCTGCCTCTTGTTTTCCCTGTTTGGCTGTTGCAGGGTAGGCAGGATGCTGCTTCTGATTTTAAAGAAGCAGGCATAGAATTGTCAGGTACCCTAGAGGAAGGCCTGCCTTGCTGTGGCCAACTGTTTACTTAAGGGAGAGATCTCATATGATGGGGGAGGAAATGGTTTCCCTCCAAGGTTGGGTCAGTGTGTAAACTGCTGTTCTTCCTTAGACATCAGCAGTCTGTGGTTTCCTTATTCCTCTTAGTGGCTCTGCACAGCCTAGACTAGATCAAACCTGTTACTTGCCTGGGTATAGAACACTAAGAATTTTTCCTCAAGGACCCTTGCTTTCCTTAGGCCCTTCTGGCTTGGTCTATGGCATTCATTAAAAAATACAAGCCTAAATTTGTTACTGGTCCCAAGGAGAAACCTTTTACCACAGAGTTTTCATCATTGAAAATAGTATTGAATGATCCCCCTATTTTGTAGGGATCCAGAGGAAAAGGAATAAAAGCTTGAGACTTTCCTTTGTGTGTTGGGACCTGGAGGAGAAAGCCTGGACTCCCCTTTTCTCCTACCTAGTCCCCACACCTAACCAACAGTTTCCATAATAAAAGAGACTGGGATTTCTTTTGATTAATCTTTTGTGTATTTCTCTTGTGTTAGAAAAGCTAGGCAGGGCTAGGAAAGTGGATCAGTGGGAGTTTACCTAGCATGCTTGAGGCCCTGAGTGGGATCCCCAGCACCACCAAAAACCAGACAGTCTTCAAAGAAAAGCTAAGTAACTGCAAAGGAATAGCCCATCTTTTAATTTTTTTTTTTTTTTAATTATCAGTACTGGGGATTGAACCCCTGGGTCCATTACCATTCAGCTATATCCCCAGTCCTATATTTTTATTTTGAGACAGGGTCTGAGTTGCCCAGATTGGCCTTGAATTTTCGATCCTGATCCTCCTCCTTCCACTTCCCAAGTAATGGATTACAGGTGAATGCCACCATGCTGGACAAGACCACGTAATATGAAAGGGCATATTTTGTTTCACCAAATGCTGGGCATCAATTCCCAGGATTGATGATGATTGGGGAAGACCGATTTCTGTAATCTAAAGTGCTAACCAGAGGGGATGCTTTGTGAACTTAATTTTGGATTGGTCCGTGCTTCCCAGGGAGGAATTTGGAGAGCATCATAAAGCATAGCATTTAGTGCAGCGCATAGGTACCTAAACCTCTGTGTGGGATATGAAGCTTGCTTCCAGACTTGAGTCCCCACCTCCCGGCATGCCGGCCTCACCTCGTCCCTTCCACCCATAGTCTTAATGGTAGGGCCTGGTTCTCGTAGTACCTCCCCCTTCTGGTAGGCGGAGTGGCTGGGCTCGAAGGTCCCGCCTCCCCGCCACATGCGCGCTGCGGGCCCCGTTTTCCACTCTCGCGTGGAGTTTTTGTTTCGTGAGCGGAAGTTCTGGGTTAAACCTGGTGATTCGAAGTCTGACTGCCCTCCTGCTTGGTGCTCAGTCGTAGCATCTTCACTGTATTCTCCCTTCCGCCCCAGCATCCCCAGTCGGCTCGGCGCGCGGCCGGATTCCAGGCGCCATGGCTCCTCGCGGGAGGAAGCGGAAGGCCGAGGCCGCTGCGGTCTCCACGTCGGAGAAGCGGGAGAAACTGGAGAACGGCAAGGAACAAGTAGAGGAGGCGGTCGTCATTGAGCATTGGTGAGCGCCCTGGGAGGCGCGGGCGGCGGCGGGAAGAATGGCTGGCGTTGCAGCGGGGCCGCAGTCTGATCTCCCCGTCTCTCCCTAGCACTAGCTGACGCGTCTACGGGCGCAACGCCGCGGCCCTGAGCCAGGCGCTGCGCCTGGAGGCTCCGGAGCTTCCCGTGAAAGTAAATCCTTCCAAGCCCCGGAGGGGCAGCTTCGAGGTGACCCTGCTGCGCCAGGACGGCAGCAGTGAGTGCGGGCCGGAGCCTGGGGGGAGAGGGGCCTGGGTCTAAAGCTAAGAAGCACTAGTTTTGGAAACCGCGGCCAGCTGTTGACTTTAGAGATGCTCTTGGATTCCAAAGTAATTTCGATTTATTCCCAGGTGCCGAGCTCTGGACCGGGATTAAGAAGGGACCCCCACGCAAACTCAAATTCCCCGAACCTCAAGAAGTGGTGGAAGAGTTGAAGAAGTACCTTTCGTAGGCGATTTGGGCAGAAGTCCTCATGCTGAGGTTTGAAATGGAGAGGGAATTAATCTTGGGTAGCTTCTTGCAAAGGAGCCCATACTGTTATAATTTATTCCACACAGGATCTAAAAGAGTGGTTTCCTACAGGGTGTGCCTTTTGCAAACCGTTTTCATTTTCATTTGAGTCCCTTTATGCCATATTATAGAACACTAATGGTAACATTAATGATTCTTTATAGAAGCGTAATTTGTATACTTCCGGTTGATTGTGGCCCTGGGGGTATGATCCAGTGTTGCTTTTGTTTGAAAATTTATTTCCTCATTCCTGGTGGCTATTTTAATTCTTTGAACCAGTTTTAAATCTTACTGCTTCCCAGAGTTAAAATTTTTAACATGTGTTTTTATGTGGGTTAATGATTTTTCTTCTTTACTGGCACATTACTGTACCTGCCCCTACACTTTTCTAGGGTTATTTTGCCCCCCCCCCCCCCCCCATGTCTTATGTATTAAACACTGCATTACAACACTGTGCGTCTTGGTTAGGTGGATTTTTGTCTGTCCATAATGTTTCATTCAATGCTTTGGCATCTTGTCAGGCACTTGTATGTTGAATGAGTTTTGGGGGAAGGATACAATCCTTGAGCTCCTGGGTGGTGGTGGTGTGGGAAGGGATGGCATGCCTGTAATTCCAGGGACTTTAGCAGGCCGAAGCAGGAGGATTACAAGTTTAAGACCAGTCTCAGCAAGTCCTTATCTCAAAAAATAAAGGGCTGGGGATGTTGTCAGTGGTAAAGCCTCCCAGGGTTTAATCCCCAATACCAAAATATAATAAAGTGATGGAGGGAGATGTCTTCCTTAGTCTTTGGTTGCCTGGATCTCTTCTCTAACATTTCCCTTCTCGTTATTGCAGCTGTCTCTGGTGGTGTTGGAGCATTTATGATGGGACATGGCTAAACTTCAGTCATGTACCTGAAGCCATTTCTTCCACTCCAGAAATGATACAGATGAGGCAACCCTCTAGTAAGGCATTGTAAAAATATTTGAATTTGGTTTGTTTAATAAAAGGTTAAATAAAGTATCTAAGAGTAAAATTTAATGTTGATGGACAAAGCCAGCTGTGGGATTGGTGGTCCTTATTTTTCATTGACCAAGGTCACCAATTGGCCTGGAACTTGAAAGAGTCTCTGGTATAACGTGAAACACTTATAAAAACTATGGGAGCAAAGTAAATAATTTATTTTTTTAAAAAGCAACTATCTTTTTCAATTCACTTCTTAGAAGTGATGGAAGTACATCTTTCTGGCCCTGTGGAGGTTTTACCTAGACTTCACATACTGGCAATGAACAAGCCCCACAAATATAAGATGCTGGAAGTGTCCTATCAATCATTCCCACCCACTTAATGTTTTGCCTAACATAGTTTCACATCTTTTGGGATATTTTTCTCTTTTTACTCTGTGGTATTGGGGATCAAACTCAGGGCCTCTTACATGCTGGGCACGTTGTGCTCTGCTACTGAGTAATAACTCCAACCCTTTTTAAATTTTGAGAGGCTCAAAGTAAAACAAAACCCCACCTCAGAACTTTCCCTGAATTTGCAGACTCAATGCCTTGTGAACTGAGAGACCTGGTTCTTGGCTGTTACCTATGACCCACTAGAGTTGGGGACCACACAGTTTATTGTTTCACTTGTCACTAACTGGAAAGTAGATTACAAAGAAATAAGATAGTTCAAGTTCATAATTTTCTACCTATGATACTACTAAACTTCTGCCTGGTCCCCAAGGCCTGGGGAGGGGAGGAGGGAACCTACAAAGAGTCAGGGTAGACCTACCTCTTACACTAAGAGGAGAAGGCATGTGCTAGTTTCTGCCAATAAATAAGCCTTTTACTAGCCAACACTTTCCACCCTCCCAGGGCCCCTAACCTCCCCTCCCCTCTCTACTACGTTAGTATATCTACCTCTGTTTCTGACTCTGAGGAAGGATCAGGCCACACAGAGGGAACACTAGCGGGCCCCAGCCTCCCCTCTGCTGTCCAGTCCACCACATCAATTTCCTCATCTTCAGAGCTGTCAGGAAGTGGGCCCAGCAACTCAGAGTTATCAAATGCCTCCTTGCTGGCCTCTGGAGCAGGGTATAATTCCTCATCCATGGTTAGGGACACGTCTAGCTCAGTCTCTGCCCAGTTTGAGCATGGAGGAGAGAGGTCCCTGTAAGATCTTTGGGAAGGGTCAGGGGAGTCAATATGGAGAAGTTTGTCTCCCTGATCATCCAGTGGCTGGGAGTTGGTAATTTCAAGATGTGGAGTCCAAGAGTCTCCCACTGAAAGCACTCCTTCACTCACCTCAGAGGGCATAACAAGGGGGCTAAAGGGCTCAATTGGCTCTTTGTTCTCAGAAGGCATGACAAGGGGACTAAAGGGCTCAATTGGCTCTTTGTTCTCACTAACAGGTTCCTTTTCCAATCCTGTGAGTTCTCTGGGCCAGAGTTCCATGTCTGGTAAACACCATTCTTCCCCTTCAATCCAGTTCTTTCCTGTTTCTGTCAGGTGATAACTAGGGGTTCTGCAGCCCTCAACCTCAGGACTCTCCAAAGACCCAACAGGTGGCTCAATGTCTGAGCCACAGAGCATAAAGTCAAGGATCTCTTCCAGCTCACTGGTGGCTGCAGCACTTGTGATTCGGTATTCCTCAGCTTCACAGGGCTGCCTGAGCAGAGCTGTATCAAATGCATATGGCTCTCTGCAGTCAATATTCATCATGGGTTCCTTCCCTACCAGCTCTGGACTAGACCCAAACTCTGACTTCACCACAGAGTGGCCTGGGGAGTGGCTAACAGAGAGCAGAAAGTCTTGTAGCCTAGAGACTGGAGAGTCCTGACAGAGTTCTATTTTAGTAGATGGCATTTCCTGCTCATTAATTGAGGATAGCTGAGCCCCTGGAGGTTCTAAGTCTCTCCTGGGATCTGGGATCTGGGGGCTATCTTGAGAATTTTTGAGGGGAGGATCCTGTACCACCTCCCAGCAGGTCCCATTTACAATCTTCCGAAGTTTTACTCTCCCAATCTGCCCTTCCTCTGCAGAGTCTGAGTTGGGTGCTCTGACTTCAGGGCTCTGCTTCTTATTCCCACCTGCCTTCCCAAGACCAGATGGGCTTGGGGTGTTCTGTAGAGGACTAGCTCTTCCTGGCTTCTGTTTGTCCTCTGGTGCTTCTTTATTTATACTTCTCTGCCGCCAAAGACGCCGGCCAGGGGCTGTGGGCACTGTGCTGGACCCACTTAAAATGCTAGGCTTTGATGTACAGACATCAGGAGATGGCTTTGAGCGACTTAGCCTGATCTTTCTGGGCAACAATCGCTCATCCACAGCGGGGTACAAGCTGGGTGGGGAAACTGCTGTAGGACCAAGGACAGAGTCATCCTTGTTTTCCTTAAGTCCCTGACTGTGGCTTGAAGGAGGAGAGCTTTTCTCTTGGGGAGTCAGGCAGGCTCTAGCCTTCCTCTTGAGCAGAAGAGTGCCTGACAAGTTCTCAGCATTTGGTCGGTTGCCCTTTTCCTGGGGACCTTCCTCTTTCCCCAAAGACTTCAACCTAACTGCCCCAAGAGGACAAGGAGTCTGAGTAACAGGCAGTGGAGTTCGTGGGCGGCGTATGGGTGCCACCACTCTGGCAGAGATTGGTGCAGCACTTGGTGGTTGTAAGCACTCTCGATTCAGTCTTCGGCCTTGAGGGGCCTTCACTAACTTTCCACCCTCTAACTGAAGAGATTCTAGCTCAGACACACGGAGCTGCCGCGCAGCAGAAAGCACGTCCTGGGCTTCTTCTCGAGATACTTCCATCTCTGAGGTATACAGGAAGTCCACCAACTTTCTAAGTGTCCTGATTTTCAGGCCCCCCAGTTCCAGCACCACCTTCCGACCCTGAGCTGGCCTTTCCCGTTCCAGGCGTTCTGTGAAGAAGGGGCTGCAGGCTGACAGAATGCAGCAGTGGGCTGGAACTGCCTCACCTGGAGAGAAACACACAGACTGTCATGTAGACTTGCATGTTAATGGACTAAGCATAGACTAACGACCCAAATGTATTGCCCCTTCTCATAGTTTTTTCCCCATGGAAATTCAAATAAAAGGAGAAATTTGTTCCTTCTGCTTGCCTGGAATCTTCTGCCATACCTCTCTATCAGCTAGCTTATTTTTTAATAATCCAAAATCTAGCCCACAAAAATTCATTCAAAAAGTCTTCCTCTAGGGGCTGGAGTTGTGGCTCAGTGGTAGAGCGCTTGCCTCACATGTGTGAGGCACTGGGTTCAATTCTCAGCATCGCATATAAATAAATGAATAAAATAAAGGCCTATCAACACAAAAAATATTAAAGAAACAAAGTCTTTCTCCAGCTGGGTGTAGTGATGCATACCTGTAATCCCAGCAATTTGGGAATTTGAGGCAGGAGGATTGTTAAATTTAAGGCCTGCCTAGACAACTTAATGAGACTCTGACTCAAAAAAATAAAATAGGCTGGGGATGTAGCTCAGTGGAAGAACACTCTTCACTCTTGGGTTCAATCCCTAATACTGCCACCCACCCCAAGAAAGCAAGCCTTTCAATCCACAAGTATGGGTTTGGTGCTCCTAGGCACAGAAAGGTACTCCACAACTATCACTGCACTTACCTACCTGAATGGGAATTAGCCATCTCCATTACACTGTAAACTCTGTGAGGACAGGGGCCATATCACTGATGTATAACCATTACTTGCCACAAAACAGGGCTTACATTTCACTGCTTGCCACAAAGTAGATCAAATACTTGTTGAATAAATAGTGTTAACACATGAGAGCTCACAGAATTTTGTAGGAACAGCATGTGGTCTAACAGTAGGTTTAGAGGCAAACAATCAGGCTTCAATTTTCCTGAGATCTTGCTGCTGCCTACTAGGGAGTGGTCTCTTCTGAGCTACCTTCTCATTTTATGGGCAATTTCCAGGCATATCAATCAGGCTATCCCATGTCTTCAGTTACCAAAGCCTTGCTGATGACCCCCAAAGCCCTATCACTACCTAGATACCTTTCCTGTGATACCAAACATCACAGCTGGCATGTCTACATGGATGCCTCACAAGTAACTCCAATGCAACCTTCCAAGGAAAGGAAATTTCGCCACCCCAAACCTCCCAATTTCGACACCAAAATAAAGTATCCCATTCATCCTCTTGCCTCAGTCATTTGAATCTAATCTTTCTAAATATATCTAATCAAATGTCAATTTTAAATAACTTTCTGGAGTCATTATGTGCCACCAGGCATTCTTCTAAGGGTTTTACCAGTATTAATCCATTTATTCACCACACCCTGTGATGTAGCTACTGGTATTGTAGATGAGTAAACTGAGGCATACTTTGGTAAGATCCCCACAATTACAGTAAGTAGAAGGGACAAGATTAAAATCCAGAATGTGGCTACAGACTATGCTCTTCCTCACTTGAATAGCACATACATTTTTTTGGCATACTGGAGTTTGAAACCAGGGATGCTCTACTACATTTCCAACTTTTTATACTTTTTATTTTGAGGCAGGGACTTGCTCAGATGCCTAGATAGACCTACTCAGCTTCCTAAGTAGCTAGAATTACAGAGCCCAACTACAATCCTTTGTTTTTATTTTTGGTACTGGGGATTAAACCCAGAGCATTACCACTTGAACTATATCTCTGGTCTCCCTAAGTTGATCAGGTTGGCCTTGAACTTTTGATGTTCTTGCTCAGCCTCGAATCACCAGGAAGGATAATATCCATTTTTTTTTTCCAGTGCCAGAGATCAAATCCCATACGTGGAAGCAAGTACTCTACCATTGAGCTACATCTCCAGCCTGATATCCATATCTTAAGGAATTTTGATGTTTACAAAACTTTATAATTAGTTTCATTTTTTAGGAGAGAAAAAAAAGTCACAATTTCACTCCTGAAAGCTAACTGTCCCAGAAACATACAGCTTTTTTTTTTTTTAATCTGTTTACCAAATAGTTTACTGTACTAGGAAGTAATATTCTTCTGTTTTTTTTCCTTCACTCCTGACCAATAAACTCATTTTATTTATTCTATGGTAAATTTCCAGCTGAGTTCCTACCAGTCTTACCTTCTGCCTGCAGAAGGACATCACAAAACACACCACTCTGCTGCTGGTGATGAAGCTGCAGAAATGCTAACCGGAGAAATCGAGGGTTCCTGTATAAGATTTTGGAACTGGCAGGAGAGCACATGTTGGTAGTACCTAATGAACCTAGGTTTTCACGGATCAGATTCCTGTAAGTGAGATAATTCATTTCAGAGGTATGGTTATACCTAATATTTTTTGTTTTTGAAATGACAGGGAAATTTTGATCAGGGTGTGATGACACACACCTGTAATCCCAGCAGCTTGGGAGGCTGAAGCAGGAAGATCACAAGTTCAAAGCTCAGCAACTTAGGGAGGTCCTAAGCAACTCAGCAAGACCTGACTCTAAATTTAAAAAGAAAAAAAAAAAAATGGGGAGGGGGCGGCTGGGATGTGGCTCAGTGGTTAAGTGCCCCTGGGTTCAATCCTGGTACCAAAAATAAATAAATAAATAAATAAATAAATAAATAAATAAATTTATTTATTTATTTTAAGAAGTATAGTATGAACTGGGGAAACATTAACCCTGGAAGTTGTGCTAAGGGTAACTTTCTCTCTTTTTCAATAGTGGGGATTGAACCCAGGGGTGCTTTATCACTAAGCTACATCTGCAGTCCTTTATATTCTCCACTTTGAAGCAGAGTCTTTGTAAGTTGCTGAGGAGCTCATTAAATTTCCAAGGCTGGTCTTGAAACTGATCCTCCTGCCTTGACCTCTCAAATCCTGGGATTTCAGGCATGTGCCACTAAGCCTGGCTTGAAATTCTCTCTTGAGATACTCTTGGTGCCTGACATGGTGGTGCATGCCTGTTATCCCAGCAACTGGAAAGTCTGAGGCAGGAAAATCACAGGTTCAAGGCCAGCCTCAGCAATTTAAGAGACCCAGCCTCAAAATAAAAAATAAAAAGGTCTGAGGATGTATCTCAGAAGAAAAGCACCCTGGGTTCCATCGCTAGTATCATAAGTAAATAATATCATCATAGTGGTTACATGTGGGAGCTCAGAGATAAGGCTAGGTTTGAATCTTGGCTCTGTTAGTAGCATAGTTGTATAATCTCACACAGGTGACTTGATTTCTCAGTCTCACATTCTCATCCATGAAATGGGAATAACAATACTTACCTTGTGGGACTGTTTTAAAAATTAAATGAGTCAACACAGGTAAAACTGCTTAGCACAATGTGGGCGTGGCACAAAATAACTATTATCCCCCAAATGGATATTATTATTATCCTTCAATCTTCTTCATTCGTATTACTGCTGAGACTCACTCCTAGAGTGCTATTAACGTTCTTCCTGAGCACTTCATCCCCTAGGTTCCATGGTTATAATCCTCAACTTAACACTTTAATGGGTATAGAACTTTCTGTAGGAAGTTGTATGCATCTTCTTTTCTCTGTGTTATCACACTAACCAGCAGAGGGTGCACAATAAAGAGAAGATCTGAGTGGGAAGACATTGCCTCTCTTGGTTTAAATGTACTAGGCCAAAGTGAGCCTGATTGACCCTGGAAGTTGAAAAAAATGTGGCCTTAGGTTTGTCTGTTTGGTTAATTACCTGGCTAACAATGGAGCAAGGATAGGTAAGCATTCTACCTCTCCCAACCAAACTTGATATTCTGACTTCACGCCTATTAACATTTCAAGTTTTGTTTTGTTTTGCATTGAAACACCCACACTCACTGACTGCAGAGCTGTGTTCTTGTCCTGGCATGAAGTTTTCAGTCAGGTGGCACTGAGGGTTCGAATTGTTCACGTCAAAACTATCAGGAAAGAAAAGTGGGAAAATAAGAAAGGGTGGGCTCAATTTCCATCCCAGACAGAGAACCATAGGTGGAGGAGGGCAGCTGTTGCAAGGGCCCCAGGAAAGCTTTCCAAAACACCAATGCCTGCCCTTGCCCCTGAAGCCAACCTGGAATGGTTTTGCAGTAGGATTTGTTCCTGACGTGCTGTCTCTGCTTGGGTCTTCTGTCCAGCCTGCCTTGCTTCCTACCAATGTCTAGCCTCCTGCCAACAGTTTGAGCAAAGCAGCGCAGCGCAGGTGGGCCAACGGCCTGAGCGATTCCCTTCTTCGTCCAGAAGCGAAGGAACTGGGGTTGAAGGAGAAAGCAGGGCGTTAGGGAAGGCCCTGCAAAGCTGGGCGCCCCGGCCCAACTCCTTTGAGAGACCTCTTGGCGCGAAGGTTTCTGGGAATGGAGCGTGGGGATCCCGGAGGCCTGGATTCAGGGCTGGCCCTCACCGCCACCTCCGACCACACGGGCTTTGCAGTCACTCCCTTGGTGCCCTCGTGGTGCTGCTGATCCTGGCACCCACATGCACTGGGCAGTGGTGACAGCCACGGCCTGAGTCCACGCGGCCCCGCGCCACAACACCGCGCGCGCCGCTGCCCTCGCGCACGCTTCGTCGTGGGGCCGACGTCCTTCCTCCTCCCAGCTCTCGGCCCACGTCTGCCTGAATACGTCATCCCCATTGGCCGAAGGCCCCCGGGAGAACCAATCAGAGAAGGAGCGGAGCTTTGGGCGGGAGGCTAAGTCTCGAGCGACTTGCGGGCTGCAGGAAGATGGCTGGGCTGCGAGAGGTAGGCGGAAGGGCCCGCCAGGGAGGGATTCTTAGGGGACCCCCCTGGTCCCTTGGCACTCGATGAGCAGTGAGACAGAGGGCCGGGGAGGTTAGAGGACAGCTCCTCCTTCCCTTGAAGAGGCTGCAAAGGACCTGCCTAGACTCCGCCAGGCTTCAAGGAGGGAAGGGCACATGTGTATAAACAAAAGAGAAACGGAAAGAAAGAACCAACAGCCCGTATGTCTGAAGCATATCTTCAAAGGCATCAATATATCTCCATTTGTATGCCTTCCTCCACCTGTGGGTCTCTGGCTGGTGTCTCCACTCGCACCCCATGTCTGGAGTCTAGGTATCTTCTGAGGCCAGAGGGGTTCTGGAACAAGCTCCCTGCGCTAGTTTCTGAATTCACTTTCTCCCCTGATTCCATTCCGACCCCGAATCTCAGACAACTGTTGACCCACAGAATTGTAGACGTCCCCCCCCCCCCCCCGCCCCAGTGGTCTCCTGTGCCCTTCCACAGACGATTTATTTAGCACAACTTCTCTTGGGAAACGACTTGTTTCAGGAGTGATGCTAAATTAAATGATCTCGAGGTAAAAACCTTTACAAAGAATGCAAACCCACGGCATAAATCTAGACAGCAGTTCTTTCCCTCCTGTGCATTAGGACCCAGGCCCTGGCTTCCATTACTGCCCCCTGGGTAGATGTCCGGTGATGTCTTGCGTTTGCCCTGGGCGAAATGGCTGAATATATTAAAAAAATGCTGAAGCCAGCTGGAGGTAGAAAGGAAGTTGCTTAAGAAGAGGAGAACCTGCAAAATGACAAAAAGAGGGGTGAGTCATACAGGGCTCTCAAATATGTCTTCATTGGTATCTAACACATTTTCTAAAAGGATTTGAGTGTTGGGAGTGTAGCTCAGTGTACAGGGCTTGCCCAGCCTGTGAGAGGCTCTGGGGTCCAACCTCAGCACAACAAAACAAAAACAAAAACAAAAAAAACCCATTTAAGGTATTTGGCTGAAATAGTGGTGTGAGGAGTGCATTTTCAAGTCATCCAGTATTTTTCCTGGTTTGAAGCTTCCGTTCTTAAGATGAGAAAAGGAACAAGGAACAGAAGACATTTTCAGTTGTAGTTGTCATGTTTTGAAGAGGAAGCAGTTTCTGAAAGGACATAAAACTCAGCCGAAGGAGGACGGATTTTACTTGCTTGCAAGTAAGCAAGCAAGTGAGGAAAGCAAAAGAGTGAAGGCAGAACAATACTTATTTATGGCCCTGGGTTCTATCCCCAGTACCATGTTAAAAAAAAAAAAAAAAGTAATATTTATTTATGGCATCTGTTGCTGAAGAATCAAGATTTGATTGGAGAGGTGTACTACAAGGATAGACAATTTTGTGGAGGTATAAGGAAAATATAAATATTATATCTCATCATTATTATTTGCATCAGGATGAAATTTATTTTAAAGAAGAGGAATCACTAGTTTGTTTTTAATGTAATACCCTATTTGTGTTAAGAATTTCTAAAGGGAATGATAAGTGGCTATCCCAGGGCTTCAGAAATGACAGACTTCAGAGAGAGAGAGAGAGAGAGAGAGAGAAATGAAACAAAACAAAAATGATGAATTTTGGATGTGTAGCCACCAGAGGGTAGAAAGGAGTAAAAATATTTTGTTTTTATTTGTACAAATAGCTAGTGGTTTGTTTTTTTTGTTTTGTTTTTTTTTTTTTTTTTGGGGGGGGGAGTTGATGATTTTCATTTCTTCTTGACATTTATAATTTTAAGTCTATTTTAGAGCTAGAATTGTCATTACATAATATTGTGCTGTATATTGATAATTAAATTTTTTTTTTTTGGTTTTGGGAATCAAACCCAGGGCTTTGTACACACTAAGCATGCACTCTATCACAGAGCTATCTGCCCTCCCTGCCCCTGGGGCCCATTTCTTTTGTAAATACCCACCACTCCCCCTCAGTTCTTTCCTAATCTTTCATCATTTTATTGTGTCTTATTTTTCTATCTTTGTATGTGATGATGGTTGTGGGTGGGGAAGTTAAACTTTTGAGATTTTTAAGACTGAGCATTGAAGCCTGGCATAGTGGCAAATGTCTATTAATCCTAGAGACTCCAGAGACTGAGGAAGGACGACTGCAAAATCGAGGCCAGCCTCAGCAACTTAGTGAGGTCCTAAGCAACTTAGAGAGACCTGTTTCAAAATGAAAAATAAAAGGGCTTAGGGATGTAGCATCGTGGTAAAGCACTCCTGGTTTCAATCCCAATACCTAAAACAAAAGAAGAGCACTGAATATAATGTTCTATGTGTATAAACAAAAGAGAAACAGAAAGAAAAAAACAAACAAAAAACAGCTCTTGTGTCAAAAACATATTTTCAAGCCATTAATTTCTCTCCATTTTTATGCTATTCTAATATAAATCCCTGTTACTGTAACTTGACAGATACAATTGCCTTCAAACTAATCTTGCTTTTACACTTGCTTCCTCTTTAATTAATTTGCTGTATAAGTCCATTTACAAGATCTTTTCAAAATGGGATTTAGATCACGTCCTTCTATTTAATCACCCCACAGTCAAGCTTTCCTCTAAGAATAAAAACCCAAACTCCTTTCTCCGACCCACATAACCCTTCGTATTCTGATTTTCAACCTCTCCCTCCATCCTTATTTCCAGCACCTTCTGTTGGGTCCAGTATGTTTCAGCCCACACCTTGGGGCTTTGGTATTAAGAATAAAGACTGCCTGTACCTTCTCAGAGCTGGCTGCTTCTTGCTATTTAGATTTCAACTTAAGTATCACCTTTCCAGAGTTTGTTTCTGACATCCAATCTAGAGCATGCTACAAGTTACTTTTATCAATCTGTTTTAAATGTACATAGTGCTGCATCTAACATTATCTTATTAGATAAATAAATAAATAAGATAATCTTTTGGTGCTGGGGATTGATCCCAGGGCCTTAAGCATTGCTAAGCATGCACTTTACCACTGAGCTACATCCCCAGCCCTTACCTTATTAATCTTTTTTATCTTTAGAAAGTAAGCTTTATGGGATTAGGAAACTTGTCCTTCTTATCTTACGTTTCAGAAGAGTGCCTGACTCACTGTAGGTATTCAAATTAACCCAAGTAGAACTAGTCTATTTTCAATAAACTGAGCATAAATAACTTTATCTACTAGTATTAGTGATTGTGATGCTTTATTTGGAGATAGCTGTTTTAGATAAATTTAAATTTTAACATCTTTTTCACCATTGAGTTTTTTTATTTATATAATTCTATTTTTAATGTTTTCCACAAACATTCTTTCATGTTAAATGGCTTGTCCTGAATACTATAACTACTAAGCAGAGACCATTCACTCTTTCCACTGTTGCTATGTATAAGGCTAAGCTCTGGGAATGTACCATGAACAAGAAAAACACTGTTCATGCTTTCATGGAGCTTATCTTCTGGTGGGGAAGACAGAAACACACAAATGAAAGCAAAATAGAAAGGAAGACAAAATAATTGTAAGTTGTAAGCAGTGATGTGGTGGAGAAAACAAGACCAATCCATCTCTAGAAAATCACAGAACATTCTAGAATAGAGCTCGGATCTGGAACCCAGGGAATCATCAAACATTTCTTGTGCAAATTATTTTCCTCTGACAATCATCTTTGGCTTTTGAACTTGCTGTGGAGAGCAGAGGTAGAAGATACAATAAAGCAATGGGAGAAGATTCTTAGATAATGAGACTTGAAGGCTGTTCATTATCTTTGTGATAATGTATTCATTTCCCATTCTAGTTTGTTTAAAACCCATCAAACAAGTGCTGAATGCTTGTTTGGTCTTGGCTACCAAGTATGAGGATCTTTAAGACTGTATACCAAATATGCTGGGGTAAATAATGACTAGATCAGCCTGATTAAATGGGCACTTCATGCTGAGGAGAAGTGAAATTCCAGGTTAGATAAGCAAGATTAGATTATGGTTGATAAGTATTACTTTAATGTGTGTGTTTGTGGTACTGGGGACTGAACCCAGTGCTGTACCACTGAGCTACATCCCCGGTCATTTTTAAAATTTTTTATTTTGAGACAGGTTCTTGCTAAGTTGCTGAGGCTGACCTGGAACTTGTGATCCTTCTGCCTCAGCCTCCTGAGTCCCTGGGATTACAGGTATGTGTCTCTACTCCCAGCCCAGATTACTTTAATGTATTAAGTGAATAAATATGGTACTTTGAAAGCAACAAGGTATTTGGCCTTTATCCTAACTGTATTGTAAGGTGATTCAAAGAGCCTCAGCTATGGAGTCAGATTGATGTAGAGGTCACTTCTTAGCCAGATGAACTCTGGCAATTTTCTTTGCTTAATTGAGCTTTGATTTCCTCATCTGTAAAATGGTGGCGTTTTAAAAGTTAGAGGTAATGAGCCCAAAGTGACTCTCAGTTGGTAGACACTCCATTGAGTTGCTATTATTGGATAATGGTGAGCCATGGAATGTTTTTTGGGGACAGGATAGATAATATAGTTTATACTATACCACTATACATGGTTTAAAAGCCTTTATGTGTATCTTAATTTTCATATTCTTGGCGATAGATATTATCCTCATTTTATACTCAAGGAAACTGAGGCTCAGAGAGATTATATAATTGAGTCAAGTGGTACATGGACTTGAGTCAGTGCACTTACAAAGGTGGAGTTTGAAGCCAGGGAGTCTGACTACAGAATCTATGCACTTCACCTCTATCCTAGATTATGAAAACTTTATGAAGATTCATTTAGTAAATCTAAAGGTTTTAGATTTTTCAGTAAGCAAGAGAAAGAAACCTTCAATTTAACATTATCATCCTTGTTTAGTAATTAGTGAGTGACAAAATAGTAGTCTTTGTTAGGCATAATAAAACTAGCTGGGCACATGCCTGTAATCCCAGTGTCTTGGGAGGCTGAGGCAGGAAGATCACAAATTTGAGGCCAGCCTGGGCAATTTAGCAAGATCCTGTCTCAAAATAAAAAGGGATGTAGCTCAGAGGTAAAGTGCCCCTGGATTTAATCCCCAGTAACAATACACAAAAACAAAAACCCCACCCCTGTCTTCCTTCCTGGTCTAACAGTCTTAAAAATGTTTCTTAACTTAGAAGAATACGACCTGTATGATCCTTTATTTAGGTTAAATGTAAAAAAAATATATATATATATACGAATCAGATAATCTTAAGCTTCAAGTTCACAAAGGAATCAAATTTTCTTAAGACTTTACTACTTACGCTGTTAACCATTTCAGATATATTGCTTGTTTATTGGATGCCATTTACTCTCCCCCACAAATTCACCTTATTTTGATTTGGGGACAAATGGGAAGACAGTGATTTTCTTAACAGCCCAGTGGATTCCTATCTTCCTTTTGGTTCAGAGTATGGAGACTAAAAACTATTAACAAGTTCAGTCATTTATTATTTTATTTTTAATTAGCTCTAATGCAATTAAACCAAAACAAAGAAACTGAGAGTTTACCCCCGATATTCCCTACCATCCCAATCAACACATAGTAGTCCTATCTTTCTTTGGGAAAATGCTTTGGGGTAGAAGGCAACAAACCAAACAGCAGGCAAATAACATCAGCTCTTTTCTGTTTCTTCACCCGGATAGGTAGGGAGAGGGAGCAAGAACCCCCATCAAAGAGAACAAATGCTTAAGTATGCCATTCTAAAAAGCCCTTGTTTTTTCACACGCCCACCCCCTGAGCTCTGCAGTAATTCTTCAGAGATTGTATAGTCTCTGCTTTAAATATAAATATATATATAAAACTTCCCCCTGTCT